CATTTATATATAATTCATAGACAGAAATTGCTAACTGTATTGCAGTCCCTGCCAGAAATATTTGCAATTGCCAGTTGTTAATTCTGCCCCGCTCTTCATGCCTTCCCAAGATCAGATGATTTCAGTCTGGGGAAAGTGTAGGGAGCAAGGGGACTAGAGCAGCCCCCACTGGCAAGGGGACTAGAGCAGCTGCTCGAAGCCCCTCACCCAATCCTCAAACTAGGAATTCCAGTCTGAGGACCAGGCAGGGAGCAAGGAGTGGCCTCCTCTCCCCTCCTGGTATTTGGGAGGGGTGAGAGCAGCTGCCCCCTACATCTTCTCCATACCACGGTGACTGGTCTGGGGAAGGCACAGGAGCCTTTCCCTTCCACTCAACTCCTCCTGGGACTAAGAGGAGATGAGCAGCAAGTGCTCTCCATGCCTTCCCCAGACCAGAGTGACTTGGGTCTCAGGAAGATGTGTTGAGCATTTCCCCACTGCTCAATTCCTCCTGGTCCCCTGCTAAACTAGGTTCTTGGAAAACTTCAAAGATTGGTTTTCCCTGTAGCACATCCTGTCAGGAGACAAGATATCCTCATAGAAAGCTACTTCTGATAAGATACAGTACGTTTTCATAATAAAAGAACTAGAGGTCCATCGGGGTGCTTTTTAAGTAACATATAATTCATGTTAGAAATTGGTGGAGGCCAATAGGAATAGTCAAAAAAGTTATGACAAATAGATGGTGGATAGATCTATTAGGGGCTATTAAGCACAGCAGTCAGGGATATACCCTCAGCTTCACAACATCCCTACACCTATAACTACTACTAACTAGAGGAGTACAGTATGGATGAATACTTCTATAGTGGAGGGACCACTGTACACCCACCCTGTTTCTCAAGCTCTCTCTCTCAAGCATCTGTTAGTTGCTACTGTCAGAAACAGGCTACTGGGTTAAAAAACATCCTTTGATCTAATGAGTAGTACAATTTTTGTGTTGGGCAGAAGCCATATCTCTAGTTTTATCCTGTTATACTGAAAATGTATCTCTTAAGCATTTGTCTCCCTGCATCTGAAGCCAAGTTACATCAGCTGACCATTTCATTGGAGAGAGGATTTGTTTTGACAATAGACTGGGTGCAGTCAGTGTTCCCAAATTATTGGCACCTTTTACTGTTCGTAGTGACACCATGTCTAATGCTCAGAAATGTTTGAGTTTGTAGCATTTCCATTGAATAAAACATTATCTTTACTTCATAAATGTGACAGCCCTCATTTCAGTAACTTAGTGGGTTTATTTTATAGATACAATGGTTGGGCTCCATGTGGCTGTCTGCTCCCCACTTTTAATAGCCATGGCATTTGGCAGCAACTGTAACTCTTTGGACTTAAGTATAGGCAGTCTGGTGTGTGTTTTTCATCTGAGCCTGCCAGAGGGAAAAGTCAGGGCACAAACATGAGCTGTAGAACTGAAAAATGGTTAAGAAACTGAGATGGCTGGCTACAACTGCCCTACTGGCTTATTCCAGGATCTATGCAGGGAGCATGGATTATAATCCAATTAAATTCCTCTTAAGAAAAGATGGAGAGCTAGAAATGGCTTCAGGGCCAGGATATTGAAAGCCATAACGGTGAGCATTTAGCTTAGCAAAATTGGAAATTCCATGCCAAAATGATTAATTTAATAACATGAGGAAAAAAAGAGAAACCAACAGAGCTTTAATGAAATGAATAATTTAGGTCACACCTCTCTGAGCTATTATTCAGGTTCTGTATGGATTCAGGCAAGCATAATTGAATTAACGTACACCCAGTTCAAGTTTGTGAAGTTACCACCATAGACATAAAGTTTAGAGACTTTTGTTTTTGTTACGGAGAATATAAGAAAAGAGGGGGTTGACATGATGCAGATGAAACCTGTACACAATGACACCCCATCCCCCCCATGAGAGAATCACAGCCCACAGATTGAAAGCTTCTTATCTATGCATATTCAAGCCAGTCTTTCCGAGCAGGTCTCAAAATGTAGTTTAGTACATTTTTCCCTCTGTTCTTTACTAGCTATTAATTTTGGATACTCAGGGTCTGAACAGCCCATTTACCTTGGAGTAGTTTACGGTAGATTTTACTCTGGAATAAAATTACACCTTTGTCCAGATGAGACAGATGACTACCGTCTGGGGTGACTGTCCAGAGCAGATACTAAGTTCCATTGGAGCCAGTAATAACATATATGAATTGTGCAAACATCCATCCTGAAATGAAATAGCTAAAGCTGTGGACACTCAGCTAGTCCACTGGTAGGACCTATGTTGATGCAGTTTTCCAAAGCATGACTTTACTCCAAAATGGAGGATAAAGTTTTTTATCTTGTGTGTGTTTCACCTTTATCCTAAAGTTAGATCATTCATGTTGCATATCTTCACGCTCAGTAACTTTATAGATATGCAGAATGGCCACGTCCAGATGAACATGGATGTTTGGTTCCCCTGGGACAAGTAGCAGCAGAGTACCTTGTGCTACAGCTACTTGTCCCTGGAGAACGCGTGTGCCATACACGCTTTGGCGCTCAGCAACTTACCCTGTGGGGCAATAGGAGAGGCTGGAGCCAGCAATGTGCTGGCCCCAGCATCCTTACCTGGGGCTCCTGGGGCTGCAGCAGTGGTGACCCTGCCAGGCAGAGCCTGGCTGGCAGCCACAGCGCAGCTCCAGGCAGCCTGGCTCTGCTTTTCAGCGGTATGTGCTGCCCATGTGTGCACTGCTCCACTTTTTTTTCCCGTGGGATATCCAGGGGTCAAGAAAACCCACAGAAAAAAAGGCAGAGCAGCACATGCACAGGCAGCATGCCTTTGCAGCATGGAAAACACTTGACTGTGCAGTATGTGGCACTGCAGGTGTTTTTGCAATGCTACATACTGCACAACTGTGTTTGTCTGGATGCGTCCAACATGTTTACTTTTGTCACCTGATAGTATTCAGTTTTGCATAATCAGAGTCACTCAGATGTGGTATTGAACAAGAAACTCCAAAGGAAAAAAAAGAAACTGGATCTCCTAGAACTTCTCCTTCACTGTAGAGCTTTGGTTTAGACTCTTACTTTCTAACTAACTTAAACACTGTATCTTCACAGATAAATAGGCAAATTATATCCTGATTTGCTGACTATAAATACTGCCATCATCTCCAGATATGAGATGTTACATGCAAAGAAATGTTGGTAGCAAAAAATAAGTACTAAGAGAGATCAGTAGGTAAAATTGAAGGCCAAACTGAAGGTATTTTATTATTTGCCCACCAATTCAGAACCCCACCTAGAAGAGAGAACGATGGGAAGTTACTCGCACTCCTCTACCTCTCACATACTGTGAGTCACTATGTAATATGGACTATGAAGAGCTGAGATAATGTACCATATGTATCTTGGATACATACTAGGCTTATGCAAATAGGGAATTATTCAATTTGGATTCAGCAGATTCAGAGGACATGATTTGATTCAGAGATTCAGATCACTGTTCCAAATCGATTTGGCCGAATCAGCTTCAGAATATTTGGCACTGATTTGGAGAGACTCAGAGATTCAGCCATAGACTATAAAAGGGAATCACTGAAATACCTATAACTTTGTCATTTTTTGGCTGAGTTGGATAAAAATTGCAGGGATGGTAGCCCCTTCTGAGTGCATGAAGCATGCAAAGGTTCAAGGAGATAGGTGCAGGGGTTTTTTGGAAACTGTACCTGAAATGGCTGAGAGCTAAATTTATGTCATATGTGTATGTTAAGGCAGATTTGGATGAAAACAGCAGAGATGGTAGCCCCTTCTGAGGACATGAGGCCTTCCAAGTTTCAAGGAGATAGGTGCAGGGGTTTCACTGCCAAGGAAAACACAGCTTTCTTTTTAAGAAGTGTGGGGGAAAAACACCAAGAACAAATATAAATTGAAAGAAATGGATTGGATAAGTAGAGGGATTCTAGTTAGTAAGCTATATCCAATCCTTTCCAAGAACAGAAAGTAGCAGGAGACATACTAGGTAGGAAGCCAAGCCAGTCCAGTACCTTTCAGACAATGTTGCTGAGGCAGAAACAGCTCACAAAAGGGACAGAAATGCTGCAGACAGAGGCTTATGTGCTGTTTCTATGTCCTCCCTCAGAGCACTGTGATTGGATGGGGACTCAGGGAAAGATTACAGTCACTGGCCAGCTACAGATGTCAGTCTTTCCCCCCCTGCTCCCCCTTCCTCTTCTCAGTTTCTGTTCCCCTGAAAGACCACCACTGAATCAATTCAGAGGCTCCGAATCGATTCAGAGCGTTTTTTTCTTCTCCCGATTCGATTCAGACTCGGTGATTCAGCCTCCAAAACAGGCTGAATCTTCTCCAAATTGAATTGCGGACCAAAGCTTCGCACACCCCTAATACATACATGTGTATTGTCACATTAGCAGTTTGGAGAACTGTTGTAACAAAAGAATTGTTTTCTAGAAATTTGAGACCCAGTTTTATTCTTCATCAAAAAGTGCTCTATTTGTCCACTTTGCAGTACGGTCTAGAATATAGTCTTCATTTTCTTGTCTTCATCATTTTTTCTCAGGGAATCATTTATATAGAATTCATAGACAGAAAGTGGAGCAAGGAGGCATCTTAAAGACAAACTGGTTCAGAGAAGCATAAGCTTTCATAGGCAGCAGCCTACTTCATCAGACTGTGTCTAGTCCTAGCCTCTGACAAAGTAGGTCGCTGCCAACAAACGCTCATACCTCTCTGAACCAGTTAATTTGTAAGGTGTCAGTCTGTCCTACTTTCTGCCTGTTTTCAGACAGGGCTAACTACCTCTATGCAATTGATATAATGGGGGGAGAAACTGGGGAGGGGAGGAACATTGAGCTTTCAGGGCCTTTATTGCAAAGACAACTTAATTTTTGAATGAGTTATTGAACGGGAACAGAAATATCTTGTCCTTTCTTGGATTGGGAGATTGATATATTTATGTAATGATCTTTTATTTTGTGTTTATTTACAGGGTATCTTTACACAGTCAACAAAATCTGATGACAGTCTCCAACCTAGGAGTTATTTTTGGTCCAACTCTGATGCGAGCACAGGAAGAAACTGTGGCTGCTATGATGAACATTAAGTTTCAGAATATTGTTGTTGAAATTCTTATAGAGCATTATGAAAAGGTAGAGCAATATCTGACATCTTTTACTTGAAAATATTTTTGCAATATGAGTGAAGTTAACACACTACAGGATCTCTTTTTCATTGCCTCATCAGATGCGTCTGAAAAAGAAAATGATTTGCTGTATATGTAGGTCATTGGGAGGAAGAACATTTTTATTTCGTTTCATGCAAAGGGCCCTGCTCTCAACAGGTTCTGCACATGAGTACAGGAGCTGTGCAGAATCTTGCTGGAGAATGTAGTCAGTTCTCTGGGTTGGAAGAAGAAATGTGTCTTTGCCTTCACTTCCCCGTGCAATATCTAGTTTCTAGTGCTATATCAAGGGGTATTTTCAGATTAAAAAAAAAAAAAAATGCTTCTTGGAGTGATTTCATGGCTTACTCTCTTGATTCCATGTGCCCAAAGTCAGATTGATTTTGGCCAGCAGAGTCTTTTGGGGCGTGTCTGCATGACAGAGGTCTCATGCCCCACCTGAGAACACAGAGGACTGTGAGTGGGCCCGTTTCTGTCTTACCCATGATAGCTTTAGACCTCACTGAAGTATGGATTAATATAACAATTAATCAGTGCATTTTACAAATCACGCAGAGGCTCTGATAACAGCATGAACTGAAGTAGGCCCCAATGAATATAAAATTAGGCATACCATAAGCTTCCACAAAAATTATGAGAAAGTAACTAATTAATTTGGAACCTCCAAAACCAACAGATAGGGAGTAAATTGATAAAACCAGACCAGAACACCAACACAAAGATCAGAGTGACCTGCCAAATAGGTGTCTACATTTGGTGGGAAGGTTGTAGGATGTGGAAGATGCCACCTAAATATGTTTTAATAATTGGTTAGAACTAGTTTTGATCGATGTATGAACAGAGGCCTGGGAATGCTTAATACTTTGCACTGGCCTTAGGGGTTATGCTCATGCCTGCATCATGTCTTCAAATGATACAGCTAGTACCATGGACCATCTGGTCATGGATACTAGTGTCTAGGTTTATTTGTAGTTCAGAGGGTAGGGGAGATTCAGGTCTTCATGGTGGGTCCTCTTTACTTCATATTTCCACAAAAACCACATGATTCAGGCGTTTTCTCAAGGTTCTGTTCCAAGTTGAACAAGAGTTACTTCTGAACCAAGTGCTTATCTCCCACTTACTTATCCCAAGCCCCATTAAACCACAGATAAGCTAAGCTTCATGTACTTTATTATGAAGGTTTAGTAAGGTCATTATATTAATGTAAAAAACCCACCTAGACTGCTTTTGGTCTATGTAGAGAGGGTCAGGTAATATCATATCTGAGGTTATCTAGGGAAGTCTCCAACTACTTCAGAACAGGTTAGCTTTGTTTGAGCCACCTTGCCGCAACAGCACTCATTCCACTAGAGGTGTTAGAAATAAGTCTCATTTCTGAAACCTGTCAAGTGTCTTCATGAAGCTTGGCCCTCACCTTGATCCTCACAAGACACTACTGCTTGACAAAGGCTTCCAGACTAGATTCCCACGCTGGTGGGGTTGTCATACAGTCATTGTTTATGTGGGACTCCTAGTAATTTGCTTGAAGTCAACAAACATGGAACTTAGGCAGACAATCACTTATAGTTTCATAGTTTCATAGATTTAGGGTCAGAAGGGACCTAGTAGATCTTCTAGCCTGACTTGAAACAGAAAGAAGGATTATTTACTGTACAGTATTCATAATTTTTTAAGATCTCTTGTCCACGTGGATTCTATCACCCTCCTTCCTTTCTTGCTACTATGGAGGCCTTATCTTCTGGGCATGTGTATTAAGCCTCTTCAACATATGAAGCTAATGGGATCTATTGTGTGCCACACAGGCAAAACAATGGGGTGAAAATTTCCCTCAGCAGCAACAGCAAACTCCACAGCCACACTACAGAACTGCAATTCCCAGAAAACCTTGCACTTCATGACACACACTGCTTGCACCAACTGCTTTCTACTGCTCTGCTTGCTGTCTTGTGAGGAACAGTGAGAGAGGTCTGCCCCAGGAACATTTTTCACATGTTATGCCTCTGTATTTTATAACATTCTTAACAGGTGCAATGGTAAGTGGGAAATGAAAAATATGATTCATTCTTAGTATGTTTTTTTGTTTTGCCATACAGATATTTCACACTGCACCGGACCCCAATATTCCTCTTCCCCAGCCTCAGTCCCGTTCAGGTTCCAGAAGGTCAAGAGCTATATGTCTCTCCACAGGCACACGCAAGCCTAAAGGAAGATATACCCCATGTTTGGCAGACCCCGATAGTAAGTTTCTCCATTCTTATAGATAACCTCTCCATCCCTGTTCTTTAGGCCTCCAGGTTGGTAATTAGTAAGCAATGGAATTGTTGGTTCAAACATATTGAATGTTTATTTGTAAATATGGCAACTTATGCTGACTTGAGTTTAAATTTAATACCTGCATCATGCAGTTATCAAATTTACATCCAATTAATTACTGCACAGTAACATACCTGTAGACATCTTACTGAACAGTAACACTGTGTGTGTGGACTGACTTGGGAATAACTTTAGTCCCAAGTCAGTCCACACACAGCATTAATTCACTTTCAAGCCTGCATGTATAGACGTTGGCCTATTCCCACTTCCTGCACAGTAGTTTACTGCGCAGTAAATTTAAGTCAGCATAAATACACGTGTAGACATGCCCACTGAGTAGAAAATAAATTCTCTCTCTTATAATGGCAATTCTAAAAAACAAAAAAAACTGACCTCGATTTGGGTGATAACTTAAAGAGAATCTGGAAGCAAACCAGCAAGGACTGCTGGACAGGCTAAATCTGTGCCTGTGGCCTAACTGCTTATTTATTGAAAAAGGTTGTGACTGCATGGTCTCTTGAAGTACTCACATGAAGCTTCCTAGAAACGTTGTGACAGCACAGTCAATGTGAGAGTAAAGTTCTGAATTCTGCTGTTTTGACCATGAAGTTTGGTGGACTGGGGAGGGCATTTAGCAGATTAAGTATTGGCAATCTGGTGTTAGGCCAGGTTGTAAAAGAAAAAATAGAACTTCTCCCTCAGGAACTGTACTTTCAACAGTCATCTTGTCTAATTAATACCTTCCAAGCAATTTGGAGTGGTAACAGAATGTCCAAAAATGTCCAAAAAGAAGGGAATTAAGCAGTTCCTATCATGGCAAAGTTGCCTGGACTACCATAAGGTATGAAAAGGGGAGATCTAGTCAGATGAAAATGGAGGTGCCAGCAAAGAGACAGCTACAGAAGGCCAGCACTGAAGGGCCCCAGTGGAGATGGATAATCTCTGGTGTTTTTATGGGTATAACTAATACACTTGTCCAAAGTTAGGTGGGTTAGGCTGTGGGCAGACAATACATTTGTAGCACTACATACAACCTTGTGCTACAAAAGTCAAAGGGACAGACATGCACATTCCCTGTAGCACTGCAAAAATGATGGAAGCACTGCACAAGTGTTCCTGTATGAATGTTCTTGAACATTACAGGAACTTCCCTGCAATGTTATGTTTTGCATGTATTGTTTGTATAGTGCATCTTAGCACTAGAGGGGGTTTCTCAGCATCCCATAAAGCTCCTCTCTCCTCCCACTCCAGTCCACAGAGGGGTAAGGAGAGCTGGGTAGACACTGAGCCATAAACGTGGGTGAGTGCAGGCTGCCCGTTTCCCCCACCTCAGGACTGGGCTATCAGTGAATGTGGGACTGGGACCAGGCAATAGTGGCCTTGATGGCATAGATAGCTGTATATTGGGAACAGGACAGAGACCATACAATTAATTCCATCTGCACAAAAAAGCCGTATAATGGTTCTGAACTCTTGACTCAAGTGTACTTTTTATTGGTTAAGTAAAATGCTGTATTATCTCATTTCCAAACTTAAAGAGCATTTTAAGAGCAAAAGTAGTGAACCACGTATTTCATTTGCTATATTACAGCTTGTAGAGTACATTTTAAATCATGTGGCAGTTAGATTGAGATAAGTGTACCACAGAGTACTTTGTAACACTGGATACCACAAGTGGCTCCTCAAAGGGCAATTATACAGACTTTTCTCTGTGGCCACAGGGGACAGAAAGGACAAGGAATAATGGTCTTAAATTGCAAAAATGGAAATTTAGGTTCAAGGAAGACTTTTTTTCATTATGGGCATGGTTTAACATTGGAACAGACTACCCAGAGAGGGTGTAAAATCCTCTGTCCTGTGAAGATTATAAATATTATAAAGGTGTACACTTGATGGTTTAGCTGGAGTTGTTCTTGTCCTTATCAGAGGGTTGGGCCAAGTGATCTGCTGATGTCTCTTCCAGCTCTATTTTAATATGATTTTAAGTAGCAAAGTAAATGTATGGGTAAATAGCTGCTTGGGAAGGATTTATTTAAATCATACGAAAGAAAAATACCAATTATTAGAATGACTTTCATTGGGATGATGCATTCATTTGAGAGGCAGGGACTGAGGAAATTGGGGATGTGTTCGAAGAATTGGGAGGCTGCAAAAAGGGTATTATAATGGGGGTGAAAATGCCAGAGCATAGCATGAGTTATGCTCTCAGAAATTTCCTCCCATTTTAAGACTGAGGTGAGAAGAAAAGCTGGATAGGATTAATGTTCTGGGGGATCAGAGAGTGAACAGAAGAACTAAGAGAGAGGAGTACTCACTGGTAGCTGTGGGGAAAGAGGCAGTACTTCACTTATTTAATTCTTTTGGGCTCCAGATGTAAAGGAGGAAGGAACATTTTCTGCTATCTACAAGTGAAGAAAATGTTGGACGGATGGCTGATGCCAAGTATTTATCTGCACCAGATGCAGCAGCAGAGTTTGGCAGGTGCCCTTAGAAAAGCAGAGCATGTATTTGTTCACATTCAAAACTGCTTCTGAGAGATACTGTTTCCTCAGAATGCCATTGGGTTGTGTTCAGCAACCAAGTTATTTTGCCAGAAAATAGAATGGATTTTTGATGAAGGTATTAAGAGCTATATAATGACATTTTGGTTGGGGAACAGTACACAAGCATGGCAAGACTCTTTCAGTAGTACTAAAAAGAAGTAAATCTAAATAAATAAAAATGTAAATGTCTCCACTATTCATCCTGCTTCTCTCCCCGCCCCACGCAGCCTGTCTGTCCCTCACTGACTCCTCAGTTTACATCTTCACTGACTGCCTGTCTTGTATGCAGACCAGCCCAGCCTCTGGCTCCTTTACTTTTCATTCCATCCAAGAAGAGCACACACCAACTGCAGAAACTTCCTCAGCCTGATGAAGGGTTTTTAAACCTGAAAGCTTGCTTAAAAATTTTTTTCCAACTATTTAAGTTGGTCTAATAAAAGATTTCAGATTCACCCAAAGAACGTTGTCTGCCTGTGTCCTTAGACCAACACAACCTACACCCCTGTAAATTTCATGAAACATTCCTGAAAGAAAAATTAATCCAGCAAGGCGCACAGATAGATCATAATAAGGTTGCAACTCTTACTAATATGCTGATCCTGCCACAATGGAAAAGGCAACCTAAAATAGTTCATTAATGTAGACAGACTCGGTTCTTTGGGTAAATCTGATATCTTTTATTAGACCAACTCATATAGTTGGAAAAATTCTTCTTTGTAATCTTTCAAGTACAAACACCCTTCATCAGGCTAAGGAAGCATCTGCAGTTGGTCTGTGCTCTTTCTGGATGGAATGAATAGTAAAGAAGCCAAAAGCTGGTATGCATGCAAGAAAGCCAGTCAGTGACAATGTAAATTAAGGAGTCAGAGATTAATGGGCAAGACGCAGGTTGGTGGGGAGCCAGGGAATGAATGTAGCTTATAAATAGTGGAGAGGTACCTGGGGAGTCGGATGTTAGGCAGGTTATAGTGTGTCATAAATCCAATGTCTGAATTTATTAGTCCAATGTATGGATTTTTTTAGTCCAAAAAATATACATGTATATACATGTATATTTAGTCCATGATTTTTTTGTATTCAGTAGATTGATGAAGTAAAGTCCGTAGGGTTGTCTGTGAAAGGTGTTTTGTAAATTCCCTTTGAGGATTAGAACTGAGAGATTGGAGAGAGATTCTCATTCATGTAGAATCATTTGAGCTTAGTTTTGCTCTTCAGACAAAGAACCTGGGTTACAGAGGGCCACCCAATTGCAGAGTAGCAAGATCCATAGATAAATTCTCAGTTGTGCATGCAGTTTTAAGAACAACCTGTCTGATGTTAGACATAGGAACATAGGGAAGAGACCTCTTGAGTAATCAAATCTAGTCCCCTGCCATTGCAAGACATTAGAGAATCTTGTTCATTGATTGATAAAGCTCCATCTTTGATTCATTAGGGGGTTTGCCCCATTATTCTGATTGAAGAGGTCGTTCAGATGGTTTGAAACCATCTTCGAATTTCCAGGCTACATTTTTTCATGGAGAGTTTACACTGATTTGTTCTTGTGTCTACATTGTCCTTTAGCATAAATTGCTCTTCTCCCTCCCGTGAATCTTCACCCAATGTGTATTCATGCCTTCTTTCAAGAAGGCGTTAGTACTTCCCTTTCTCTATTGGAAATATTGCACCTGATAAATTGTACAGATTGTGGTTTGCTTTTATCACTGACATGATACCAGCTCAGTCATAATCATCCTGAGAGAAACTAATACACTTATATTTATTTATTTATCTTTCCCCTTTTACTCAGTCACCTACAAATAATGAGCTCTTAGGATTTAGCAGAGATCCTTTTTATCAATCCCAAAATGTATGTCTTTGCATTGATATTGTTCAATTTCATCCTGTTTTTATTACTCCAGTCCACAAGGACATTCAGTTCCTTCTGTAACATGCTCTGATTAACAGTACCTTCTAACTATGGGCATATCCACATCACTGTGGCAGGATACTGCAGCCTTAAGGACACCCTATCCACCAGCTTCCTCTTCCATGCTCCAAACCTGGAAATGCACCAAAAAAAACTACTCTGGGATCACCCATGAGTCAAGACTTCTGTTTCAAGCATTGTTAAGACTGGCTACCATCAACAACCCCAGAGTAGGCTCATCAACATATCTGCGATTTGTAATATGAGAGGGAGATAAAAACAGATATCAAGCTTTCTCAATCACCTTACAGCCTGGCCATTTGTGTTCGCACTGGATTTATGACCCAGATATATTGTGCTGGGCAGACCCAAACCCTCAGACCGAACACAACCTCTCCATTTGATAATAGGAAAATGTTATTGATACACAATGATAGATAAGAATAATGCAAACAATTCTATATCTATCAGTCCTAGAGCTGTCATCAGGGTAACAGTACCTCTGGCCAGTACACGAGATTCATCCCAACTTCAGTTCTGGTCATCCACGGGTATGCAGTCTCAGTCTGTAGCAAGTCTCAAGTTCTTTAGAGGTTGTCTCTTGATTGTCAGATGTCAACAGCCTGGAAGTTGAAAGCCGAGTCCCACCTCCACACTCCCTCCTCCAGTGGGATGCGTGAAACAGGCTGGTGGTATTCCCTCTGTCCATGGTGACCTCGGGTTCCCCTCTCTGGCACCCTTTGCTGCTCTGAAATCCCTCCGTGTGTATCCTTTTTTCCCCCTGTGATGACTCTTCATCTCTGGGCATCATACTGTTCACATTCTGGACAGCATATTTCTTTGTTTCATAAACCTGTTACACGCACACATCCTAATTTGGGCTTTTACCAGTTTCTCCATCTACCAAAACCAGAAATCCCAAGGGCTCTGCAGTTTGGCACTGTTCCTGCGGAGTCCCTTATCTTTGTTTGGATATACTGTTCATGTTGTGGAACAGTGTGGTGCATATCTTCCATTTCCCAGCCTGTGTACCTGCTTGCTGCTTGCCTGTTTCAAGCACAGTGGGCCTTGAAGGAAACTTCATCACAAACAGGCTTTTAAAAATCAGTTAACCCTTGCCATTCTCCTGGACCATTTTTCTAATGCATATCTACTAGCCCATTCCCAAAAGCAAACCACTAAATACCATGTTCTAGCCACTGATGTGGAAGAACAATGCTAAAATTACCACTCCCTGTAAAAACAGCTAAAACTGTATTGCTTTACTGTTTTCCAGCAGTAATACAACATAACAGTCTCCATTTACTGGCTCCATAGGTTAAATTTAGTTTCCTAGGACTACATTTGTAGCATGCGGTATTTCTTCTATGCTGACCTTTCTGCCCATTCTTATGCATAGGATGAAAATTCATCCCAACTTCAGTTCTGGTCATTTGAGGTTAGGCAGTCTCGGTCTGTAGCAAGTCTCAAGTCCTTCAGATCCACCAGCTCCAGAAATTAAGAAATTGTCTAAAACCTATTAGGTCCTAATGGAAGAGATGCAAGTGCAAAGTAGCTGGCAGTCTGCCTAATCCTTCATAATCTGTTTAGTTCACTCATGTTTCTTGCACAGTTGTAGCCATTTGAGTCAGGGGCTGTATGTCAAATGGGGAAAATTATGAGGGATGTCAAGTATAAAAAGCCTTTAAAGTTCAAACTAAAACAGGGTCTTAAGAGTTGGTGTTATGAAATAGAGACCCAAAGACTTCGGTATATCTCCTAAATCATATGCATTGCCACAGTAGTCTATAGTTAGGGTGAAAGCCATCCCAGGAGTGTCTGACTGCATCCTTCAATGTAAAAGGGGTTATAAAACAACTGCCCAACTGAAATGCAAATTAACAAAATACCATTCTGTCTTTAGAAAAGCTATCTGTAAAAATACGTGGACTAATGGTGTTGGTCATGGCCAAGACTCCAGGGGCTACCAATGGCCCTGACCTCTAGAAATTAACACACACCCAGTGTTTCTTTTCTACATTTCGCTTCTCCTCTCCAGGTGATTCATACAGCAGCAGTCCAGACAGCACTCCCATGGGCAGCATAGAGTCGCTCTCTTCTCACTCATCAGAACAAAACAGCACCACAAAATCTGCATCATCCCAGCCCAGAGAAAAGTCAGGAGGAATTCCATGGATTGCATCCCCCCCTTCTTCCAATGGGCAGAAGAGCTCAGGTCTTTGGACCACAAGTCCAGAATCTTCCTCTAAAGAGGACGCAACAAAAACAGATGTGGAGTCAGACTGCCAAAGTGTAGCTTCTGTCACTGGTCCAGAGAATATGTCTCCACCAATAGATCTGACCAAAAAGGGACCTTATGGTCTGACTGGGTTGAAAAGATCTGCAGCTTCCTCCCTCAGGTCAATCCCTTCAGTTGAAGGTAAGTCCTCTGTATTTCTTGAAGTTGTTCTAGCAGGATATTTGGTGCAGTGCACCCAGGAAAAAAAAGAAGTACATCAGAAGGCTACAAGGGTGTAGGTTGTCAGAAGGCTACTATGTTTTGAAATGTTTCTGTATACTCTACTCTTTTTTGATAGATGTTTGTAAGATTCCCCTCTCTTGCACCTTTTTATAGCTTAAAAAGCATCAACAGTGTCTATATAGTTTGGAACAATACTTATCCTACCACCCTCTCCCACCCAGAGTTGGTTTTTTTTACAGGTAGAATCCAAGCTTTGAAAGGTATGTTTTATTTTATTGAGATATTATAACCAAATGTTATTTTAGACAAGTTGAAATTATTAATTACCAAACCCTTTTAAATTTAAACAATGCAGAAATCATCTATGGATGCTCAAAACTGAAGAAAGTTTCCTTTTGTAGCATTTGATTGTCACATTTTTATTGTAAGTGTTTAAAACAGACACAATCCATTCAATACAGCATAATAATCTTAAATATTTCTCAAAATTTCAATATCTTTATTTTCTATTCTGGTGCTATGATGCTTCCACTTGATAGACTGCCTTTGCTCTCAGTACATACTGTCCCTATTTTATTCTTTGAAAAATCCTTCTTTGTTCTGTATTTGCAGGTTTTAATGAGAGCTCAATGTGCTTTAATGTTCTATGCACTCCGGTCATTTTCTTTAGGTAACAAAAGCTTCAGTGGATCTGTGCAGAGCTTATCCTCAATAGATGCAAAAGATACACCAAAAGCTCCACCTAATCCTGAGCTGCCACCAAAAATGTGTAGGAGATTAAGACTAGATACTGCATCAAGTAATGGCTATCAGAGGCCAGGATCAGTGTAAGTCATCCAGATTTTATGGAAACAGATTTTTTTACAGTATTGTACAACTAGAATGATAGATGAAGTATCTGTGAACATTTATTTGAATATTTATGTATACATGAATTATTCATCCAGTTTCATAAACTTCCCAAACTGGGCAAATGGAATCTGGCTCAAAGCCTATTGAAGTAAGTGGAAAGACTCCTTTGTACTTTACTGGGCATTAAAGCCTGGAAGGAGGAGGTAAACAGTTTGACTATTATTTGCCCGCTCTAATCGTTCTTATCATTGCCTCTTCTGTAGTTTATTATTTTAAGAGCCAGCAGGGCCATTGACTACACTGGCAGCTTATCAAGAAATAAAGTGATGTGGTTCATCATGTCTTGCATTTCTGAATCAGAAATTAAAGTAAGAGCTAAAAACACCCTTCTCTGAAACTGCTGTATACTGTTGCCTTGCATGATTACAGTTAAATCCTTTGTTTTGGCAAAGTGGGGTTAGTTTTCTTGTGATTAAATACGTTACAAAATATAAATTGAAATTTACTTATGACTTGACTTTCAGAAGTAACACTGGGTATCACAAAGACCTCCAAAAACATTGTGCACACTCCAATTCAGACTCGCCCCACACTGTTAAATTGGAAAAGGTATCATTATGTTTTTTCACAGGTTGATAAGCCAAGCATACACAGGCTGGCTGATTAGCCCAACATCCCAGCATGTCAGTGACAGAACTGAGAATAAACCCCAGAAATGTTGATGCCCTTTCCCCCTTTATTAGACCCCAAGTGTTGCTCATTTCAGATATATTTAGTGACAGACCATCAGTATGAATTATGAATGATAGGAGTGTGTCTTGTTTGTGTTGTTTTTTAGCCACTATTTACAGGTGTATTGATTTGGCAAGATCCTTCAGCAGGTGCCCCAATTGGAAGTCAGTGAAAACTACCCAGGTGCTTAAAGTTTGGCATGTTTTTAAGACTGGATGAAATGTGGCCAAGATTCAACATGGGACTTACTTTTTCCTAACACTTTTCTTGTGGATAAAAAGAACTGTATGTGTTTACAATCAAGTAAACAGTTCATAAAATAAAATAACCCTTTCTGGCTTGTGCAACTGTTTAGGCCAAAATTGAAATCATGCTGTACATTTAAGGACAAGTTTAACTTGCCTCTTAACTTCATTTTCAGAGTGGCTGCAAGAGCCCAGATGTTTGAAAGTGCTGGTTCACTTAAACAAGCTTCTTCAGGACGGTAAGTGCCTAGCATCTTTAATTTTAGTTAAAGCATAAAGGAGGGCTGATTACAAACAGTGAAATAGAGAAAGGGGAAGTAATAACCCCCGCTATGCAAACATTTTGTGGTTTATCAAGTTTATTCTTCCTGCAATGATCTCACACATATAAACAGCTTGGCTATTGATTCTCCGTCCTGTATATTATGACAGTTAGAGAGAGAAAGTCCTAGAGAGCAAACTGCCTTGGTAACTGCATAAATTTATTAAAGTTAGTTTTGCATAAGCCTAATCAGGGTTCTCTCTCTCTCCCACCACACCTTCCTTTAGTGTCTATCTGGGGAAAAACTGTGATCTTCTATCTTCCCTTCAGCGGGTTATAGATTTACTGGGAGTAAAGTTGATTTCATCTTGACACTTTATTTCCACTAGAGCAGACACTGAACTAGTAAACATTCCTCTCACACTGTTGTCTCAACTCTTCCTTTCATTCTGCTTTATTTTTTCTTTCCACATCCCATTTCTTTGTGGCCTATTTCCCAGGAAAGAAGTTAGTAAGCATACCTTGAATAAGTAGTTTTGGATCAAAAACCAGGAGGTCTCAGGCACTGTCTTTATATAATACAGAAGGCAGTCTAGTTACAAATGATGCAGCGAAGGCTGAAGTACTTAATACCTTTTTCATTTCAGTCTTTACCTAGGGACAGCTACCAGATCCTGAGTGCAGTTGACAGCTAAGATTGGGAAGGAGACAAACAGCCTAGAGTAAGAGAAGAACAGGTTAGGGGTAAATGCTTTCAAGTTGGTAGCCCCAGATGAAATGGTATTGAAGGAACTGGCTGAGATGCGTTCAGAGCTATTGGCTATCCTCTGAGAATTCATTGAAGTCAGTTGAGATCCCAGATGATTGGAAAAGGAAAAATATAGTACCCATCTTTAAGAAAGGATATCCAGGGCATTTCAGCTTGGTAAACACTTGGCTGGGATGGTTTAGTCAGGGATGATCCTGACTTGGGCAGGGGGCTGAACTAGATGACACAGTGAGATCATTTTAGCTCCCCTTTCCTATAATTCTAAAAGATGCCTTCAGTCTCACTTCTGTCGTGATTTGAGATAAATCAACCCGTCTTCAATGGCACAGTTAAGAAGCAAAGACTTACTTAATTACAAAACTAAAAACATCATTTAAGGCAAACAAATGCATAGGAAAGATGTCTCTCTCCTTCCTACCCTTTCAGTCCCTTACATTGTAAGGTAAGGGGCTAGAAGGGTGGGAGACAAGGACATGTACACCCTTAGCATAGTGGAAACCTACTCCCAATTGAACTGCCAAGCAATAGCGAAATACTATGGTAACATGCAATGCTGATAGATGCTGGAACCATAGTAGGTGGTTTGTAGGATAGCATGGAAACAGGCAGATAGCAAGATGCAGGGAACATAATCTCCTTGTATGCCTGCTGACTGCCTTTCAGTAAAAGGCTGGTCCTAGCTCAGGAGAAAGCTGATCACTTTGAGATGCCAAAACATGACAGTAGTCCTGTGAGGGAGAAAGGAGTGAAAGCAGGCAGCAGCATGCCTAAGGCCCATGTAGCACAAACCAGAGCAAAGGGGAGAGAAGGGAGCAAGCTACTGACCTGGGAAGGATGAGGTAGATGAGGAAATGAAAAGACGTCCTGGTCCAGATCCCATTTAGCTTTAATATATCCTATTCCCATATTGTTCCATCTCCATGAGTCCCTGCTCTTTCTCCCCATTTTATATTACCACCCCCCACCTTATTAGCTCCTAAGTCTGTTGTTCCCTCAAAGCCTGCACTTACATTTATAAAGCATGTGAGAAGTAAGGATCTGACAAAGAAAAAATATAGTTGTACTGTTTCATAATGGGGATGGAGAGCAGATAAGAAGCAACAAAGCAGAAAAGGCTGGCAAGCTTAATAGCTCTTCTACTCCAGCCCTTATAAGAAAGCAGAATAATGATAACAAGGAACAGGCAAAAAGAGAAGCAAGAAAGGTAGTTGAGCTGTTTCTTTCAGCACTGCTTGCTTCAGCCTGGACCCTGCAATTGGGATTAATTTGGAACTAGTTTTTGCTTACCTTGCATATCTGCTATGCACATGAGGGCTGAATTGGGCCTTGGTAGTGTCCCTTTATCCTGTTAAATGTAAAACATAATTTTTTGATCTCTGCATACATAGTAACCTACTGGAGAGGGTATGTGATTTCATTAAAAATACAAATATGTTTGCAATATTAACAAAGAAAGGGAGAAAACACATTAACCCTTGTGCAGGAGCTACATCATTAGAAGAATTGTAAGCTGTGACTTTGCCTTGCCTTCACCCTTGTCCATCTATCCATTTGTGCATTTCTGGAATGCCTGTCACTTGGTATCTGAGCTGAGTTAGAGCTAGCTTTTGTAACTTAGTACTGTTAGAACACACAGGTAAGGATAGCAGCATCACAGTATCCCTGTGCATTCTGCTCTCAATACAGCTGGAACACAGTGTGCAATTCTAAGGCGTCTATATTTCAAGTAAAACTGCTTTAAGCATATTTCACCATGAGACTCCAAACATACAAGAAAACACAGCATGCTGTAGTTGTATAGGCTCATATACAAAACTTTCAGTGTATGTCATTGCTGGACTGGGATTAATCAAGGGTAGATCAGCCTCCATGCCCTTTCTATTCATGAGGAAGTGATTGTCAGCTCCTAGACTATTGCACTGGGCAGCACAGTTTTCGGACAAGGTGAGCGGCCCTCAGTGGTGAAACAGCAGGTTAGGGACTAATTAAAAAAGCTGGATATATACAAGTCCATAGAACCAGATGCAATGCATCTCTGAGTGCTGAGCGAGTTGACTGGTGCAATTGGAGAGCTACTGGCCATTATCTTTGAAAACTCATAGTGTTTGGACAAGGTCACAGATGATTGAAAAAGGGCAAATATAGTGTACAGTTTTAAGAAAAGGAAGAAGGAGAATCAAAGGAATTAGACCAGTCAGTCTCACCTCAATCCCCAGAAAAATCATGGACCAGGTCCTCAAGGAATCCATTTGTAAGCACTTGGAGGAAAAGAAGATGATTAGGAACAGTCACCATGGATTCACCCTGGGCAAGTCCTGCCTGACCAATTGGATTGCCTTCTATAATGAGAGAACTGGCTCTGTGGAAGTGGGGAAAGCAGTAGATGTGATATACCTTGACTTTAGCAAGGCTTTTTATATGGTCTCCCACAGCATTCTTGAAAGCAAACATGGGTTTGATGAATGGAATGTAAGCTGGATAGAAATCTGGCTGGATCGTCAGGCTCAACAGGTACTATTCAATGACTCAATGTCTAATTGGCAGCCAGTCTCAAGTGAGGTGCCCCGGGATTGGTACTGGAGTTAGTTTTGTTCAGTATCTCCATTAATGATCTGAAAGATGAAATAGATTGCACCCTAAGCAAGTTCCTGGATGACACCAAGCTGAGGGGAGTAGTAGATAGGCTCGAGGGTAGGGCTAGGATTCAGAGTAACCAAGACAAATTGGAGGATTGAGCCAAAAGAAATATCTTGAGGTTCAACAAGGACAAGTGCAAAGTCCTGCACTTAGGATGGAACAATCCCGTGCACCGCTACAAGCTTGGGACCAACTGGCTAAGCAGCAGCTCTGGGGAAAAGAACCCGGAATTACAGTGGATAATAAGTTAGATATGAGTCAACAGTGTGCCCTTCTTGCCAAGAAGGCTAACAGAGTACTGGATTGCATTAGGAGAAACATTGCCAGCAGATTGAGGGAAGTAATTATTCCACTCTGTTCAGCACTGATGAGGGCTCATCTGGAGGACTGTCCAGTTTTGGGCCCCCCGCTACAGAAAGTATGTAGACATGTTGGAGAGAGTCCAGCAGAGGGCAACAAAAATGGTTCAGGACCTGGGGTACATGTCTTGAAGAGAGGCTGAGGGAACTGATCTTATTTGTGGAAGAGAAGACTGAGGTGGGATTTGATAGCAGTCTTCAGTGACCTGAAGACTGGTTCCAAAGAGGATGGAGCTGGACTGTTCTCAGTGGTGGGAGATGACAGAACAAGGAGCATTGGTCTCAAGTTGCAGCAAGGGAAGTTTAGTTTGGATATTAGGAAAAACTTCTCACTAGGAGAGTTATGAAGCACTGAAATGAGTTACCAAGAGAGGTGGTGGAAACTCCATCCTTGGAGGTTTTTAAGACCCAGCTCAAAGCTCTGGCTGGAATGATCTAGTTGGGGCTGGTCCTGCTTTGAGCAGCAGGTTGGACTAGGTGACCTCCTGAAGTCCCTTTCAACCCTAATTTTCTGTTTGGACTGAGGTCTGAGCCTATGCTTCTCATAGGCCAGCAGCAACCCTCAGCTAGTACTGCTTTCAATAACTGCTGGTCTTGGCTGCAGCAGAACTGACAGAGTTGAGAGGAAAGCTGGTGTTCCTTTATTAATAACCTGAATCACAAATGTCCTTGGCTTTCAAATTTTTAACGATTTCTTCCTTACTCAGAATCAATCCTAAATACATCCCTTCACTCCTATTTGCTGGCTCTCTCACCTGAAATGGTAGGTTGATGCCCATACAACCCGTGAGGTTACACAACTATCTTTGTGATCTTGGAGCACAAGTCCCACTGACTTTCATTTTTTATCTCAAGTGGGTGTTGCCTTCTCTGTTATCACCCTCACTTTTGATCTGATCATGCACCATTCCTGACAACAGCTTTTCCACCCCTACTTTCTGACTTTATTTACAGCTTTCCTCTACTTGCATACCACTCTGTTGCTCCTTTCCTTTCTCCTAAATTAAGCCCTTTTGTTATCTGGCTTTAAGGATAAGCTACAAATCTGCTTGAGCACCCAGCTACCAACCTGTCCATCTATCCCCATGGTGTACAGTAAGACTAAACACGTGTTACTATTGCCCAAGACTCGGAGGGAATTGAGGCACCATTGTGATAGGTGCTATACAATTCACAAGGACTTGGTCCCTGCCCCAAAGACCTTTTGATCTG